CATGGAGATGTCATCCAAGTCTTCGAGTATCTTGTAGAACTGCAGCTGCACTGGAATAATTGTGTTTTGTTTATAGAATTCTTAATATTTCGACCGAACGAAGTTCATCTTAACTGAAATTGCTAGAAAATCCAGAAAGTTCGGAGACACGGAAGGCGATACGCTTAAAACTTGGTTGTTAAAGTTATACTGACCCGCATCCGTATCACGTAACTTAAAAAGTCAGATTATATCGATTTTTTATGACATTAGGTAGGCTTTTTTACATTATATGGGTTTCTACCACTTCCACAATTTACACCACTGTACTGGGATCTAGAGAATCTACAAATCATGAGGCATGAGACCGCATTCAACATCTATCTGGAGAGAGCCAAATGGACTAGGCCAACATATAGTAAATTCCGTACCTCATTTTTAATGAACAGGAACATTCCATATTTTAATTTTTTTCAAAACAATCTACTAAAACTGCTAGATGATATGTCTCTAGCAAACTAGCCACAAAACAATGTGATTTCCAGTACGATTGGATAGGATCTACTTATGTTTAAGGATCTACTGTATCAACATTCTACATGGCTTTCAAAAAGATGACTCTTGCTTAAAGACTTATGCTCCTTTAATTGCTTTCTCGTCTTATTCGTACAAAAAATTGGAATTCGCTAGAATTTGTCTATCTTGCGCACAAAACACTTAGAATATTTGATTATCTAAAATGTATTTTGGAAATCCATAATATGCAGAAGTTCTTCATAACTATGGATATTTTATCTGCTCACTATGTGGTCCTTCTGATTCAATCCATGATCTTTGGGGATACCCTGTATTAACAAAGTTATGTAGTGATTGTCACAAGGACATCCGCTCTCAGAAGTGCAGTGATGCAGACGACCACTTGAAACGGTTTTTCACTGAAAATATGAATCACCCTCATGTAACTCCTTCTTTCGTGACTTGAGGTGCGCCATTGCTCAAGTTCCAACGCAGGATTAATGAAATGTGTGAAACCAAAACTCCTCAAGCAACAAATCCGACCGGGATAAAGTTACAAAGGAAGCTGAATTACTGCCGGGTAAAAAGGGGAACGTGAGGCCCAATGCAGTGTTTCTTTGTGTTTTGTACCGGGACGCGACGGTGGTGCCGCCAGTTTTGACGTCACGCTTAATTGAGCTACAGCTTCTATGAAAGAGAATTCGAAGTGTGTAATTATAGCGCGGACATAGACTAGGTTATAAAAGCATGAGTACCTGCTCCAATTCCAGGGTTTTCTTCTTTGTTTTGCGGTGAAAGAGATCATCAAAAGAGCCTTGAGGGACAGCGAAATTCTAATTTCCACGCCAATTGGCGAGGTGTTCTAACAGCAAAAATATCAAAAATGAGATAGTACCTTTTTCGGATGTTACATGACATCTTACATGATTTTCGTTGGTGTGTCTGTCTGTCTGTCTGCCTGCCGACTGATGGTTGATCTATCTTTGAATGTGTGTGTTTGTATTTCTATGAAACTTTGACATAAACTTACTATTATGCCAAGGACGGAAAAAACTTGTGGGATCTGAGGATTGTTCCATTGACGTTTCAGGGACTCCTGCTTATTTTTGTAAATTGTTTTGAGTGGGTAGGAGGAGTTGAAGGAGGTGGTGGAAGGTATAACTCACTTTCTCGGTGCTCGTATATTTATACCCCGTCACCTATTAGACATATTTCACACGTCCCTGTACATTTACCCTTAATCCTCGGTTTGCTCCCCGCAACTGCAATTGCAATGTTGTCGGACGATAGACACATAGAGTAGAGGAAACATTTCTAGATCGCAACGCTGTCAAATGGGTTGGACGGGATACGAATTATATGTGTATCTGACTGGCTTAGTTCATTAAATGCCGTTCTTATAAATTTTCTTAGCTAACTTGTGCCGAATATAATCCTATATTAGCTGAAAACAACATTTCTTGTGAAATGCAGAGTCAACCTACTTGTTTTAGTTACAAGCGAGTTCGCCTCTTTCGCCATTAAAACGTGATGATTTCTTAGTAAGCTTCAACATGGAAGTTTAACCTAAAAACTTGAATTCTTCATGAATATGCATTGAAGAAAAGATTAGCTACAACTTGAAGTTACAAACGTGACTCTTATGTAAAAGAAATTGTCTGTCAGAGCGGCCCGTACGCTCAATAGCATCCGATAGTTATGGAAAAATTGAGATATTTTAAAAGTGCATAATTGACATGTTTAGGATGTTTCAAGAACGGCACGGGTATCATGTAAAAAACCTATAAAACGTCAAAAAAACATATAAGATGTCAACTTGCAGACTAGGTAGTCTTTAGAGCGCAAACAGTCATTCCACGTTTGCTCGCTAGGATCGTTGTGAACGTCCACCTATGGAGGAATCACTCAACTAAACTACGCATTATTGGTTGCATAGTTTTGTGAGGCTGAGTGATCCAGGTCTGTAGCTTTTATCTCTGAGAAGGAAGTTGGATGAATAGCAAGATCGCATCTGGATGATTATGTGTACTGGTCTGCATTTGTATAAAATCAGTGATATTTGCTGCGTGAGAAAATCATTACCGAATATGCCGAACATATGACGGGTTATTTATATGTTTTGCTTTCTGAAGAGAGGGTATGTTCAAAGTTGTAAATTATAAAAAACTGAGGAGAATTACGGGAAATCATCACCGCGCCCGCGTTGTGTGTAACTACTGTTAGCTCGTGTATGGCTTGTACTTCGACAGTGTACAGTGAATATAATTATTTCTGATCTCTGTCATTTTGAAATTCAGCAAATTTGTGTATGTAATTTCCAGAATGTATAAGAAAAAGTGGCTGCGCAACTAATTTCTAGCTTTGAATCTCGACTAAGCGTATTTGAGACAAGAATCCAATGGAATTATCGTCAACGCATACAACTCAGAGCTTAGACCTCCAGTACTGCCAACTCTGCAGCAGATTTTACATAACATTAGAGCCAAACATTGATAACTATAGCCTCATGACGTTTAGGCAATACGTACAACTACTGCTAAATCAACATCTTGTAGAAAAACCTACATAATGTCAAGAAAACCATTATAATGTAAAAAAAATCGATATAATGTCACTTTTCAAGATACATGATACACGTGCCGTTTTAAAAAAGGATATGCGTAAATCCAGCTGTTGATCACCTTGCCATGGGTTCTCAATTACATTTTACAACATCAAATACTACCACCAATCTCAAAGGCGGACTCCTGATGATAGCTAGCATAATTTGTCGATATCCCCAAAGGCAAGTCTTTCACATAGCTATACAGGGTGTCCGCAAAGTTGGGGTGTTCCTTTTCAGAAACAACTACCCTTGAAATAACAAAGGTAATGTGTAGTGAAACGAGGGCGACCAAGTAAAAAAAATAAAGGAAAAAGTACTCACTCTCCAGTTGACGAGAAGGGCTAAGTACTTCTCTGCCCGAAATCATACCGCTCCAACAGAAAATAAAATCAGCTGATGCGATACCGAGCAGACGCACCATGCCAGTCCAAACATTCACCGAAAATGTTTGTTGAAAATGTGCCCGACGGACAGCGTGCGGATTTTCTACTGACCAAACATGAGTGTCGCGAAAGTTATTCACCCCATTACGCGTGAATGTAGATTCGTCTGTCACCAATATGCACTTCAAAAAGTCCGGATTATTGTCATGTGCACGCAGCGTTTGCCACACTTTAGTTTTTGATACTTGCACTTCTCTAGCCACGTCCCTAGTGCTTGTTGAGGGATTCTCGTCTACGCGATTACCTCTACAGGCGTGACCGTAATCGTCGGTTGAAGGTTGCATACTGTCCTGACACACTGACCCCGACCCAGTTCTGTCGTCGGGTTGAGCCAGTGACATTGTACCACTCCGTGATGTCGCGGCTACAGGACGGTATTAAGATATTTTTGATGTTGGAGAGCCCTTTATCTCGGTTCCCTTAAGACATTGGTGTATATGGTACTAAGAAAAATTGCTTATGTTTTCAAGATCTACACGTCGTGTAAAGGAAAACCCCATTTTTGCGGACACCCTGTATAGGTGTATATATACAAAGAGAAAATGGCCATGCGGAGAAGGTATATAACAAAATTTTATTAAAATAAAACCATTTAAACTGGGTGTTCGGATTTATATGTCACTTAGTATATTTGACAAAGCCGCGGTTTGGAAATGCCGTGCCTGTCCTACAGACAGCACCAGCCATCTGGCGACGATGATAGATTCGTTGAGCTGCTGCAACGCTAGTGTTGAAAATATTTCTCTCATTTAGTTTTAAGGTCATCAAAATCCGACCCGTACTTTTCCAATTACAGCAGGACCAACGCTAGGCGGACAGACAGGCAAACCGACAATGTTAACAATAACCTATGGTCTGTTTCACTTCTTATGACTTAAATGTCACAAACGTTAACATAGGCACTATCTGCGATAGCAAAATGTTTTCATTATTTTATTTTGCCGTGAGAATTGGAAACGGCTTTCTTGTATCTATCTCTCAGCCTAACATACAGGTTTCTGCACGTGCACGTGTTTCACAAACAGCTGTTTCAGTTCAATGTCATTGTATGACAAACTGTAAATTTGAACGTCATCAGACATTAAAGCCTCTTGTGATGCATTATCCTGTTGAACAGTATTCAATAATAAAATTGGCACAAAGGGCAGTAATAGCCAGTACTAAATAATATATCGTGATTTCTGTTCAAAGACCTTTGTCGAGTTCCACATGTACGCGTATTCCATCAGAGTGATGTAATATGGTGTAATGCACTTTGTTCTGTGGCTATCAGGGAAGATCAACCTAAATGAGTAGCTGTAGCAGCAATAGCAATTGATATAAGTCATCTTAATTACCATGGTTGCCTGCCCATTGCAAAGGTCACATATCCTGGAATCTCCTACGGGTTGAATCAACAAAACCTTGCCAATGTTTTTGATAAATTATGTATATATCAACTAATCCTTCTTCTTTAGTTCCAGAAAAGAACTTGGAGTTGAGGAGGGACTACATAGGAAACGACATGTATCAGCTGATGTGTTACGCAGAAAGAGTATTTCCCAGACCAACAATGAGCTTACATATAGGTGGAAGGTAAGGAAAGAGATAATATTATCCTAGAATAGTCGGATTTGCAGCTGCCAACGTTGTCTTCTACTTCCCATGCCTCTGAACTGGAGGCAAATTCTTGTATTTTCAAAACATTTCGAAGATGAGGCATTCCTTTTTTTGGATGTTATATAACATTGATATCATGAAAAACTGTGCCACTCATTTTCGCCCGTCTGTCTGTTTCTCGGTCTGTCAGTTTGTCTGTCCGTTAGTGCTTGGTCCGACTATAACTTAGAAAGTGCTGCTCGGATTTTGTTGTAATTTTCGTCCAAGATTACTACTATGAAAAGTGTTAAGCACCTTTACAGGTTTGAAAATCGGCCCTGCGGCGGCAGGGCGGGGGGCAATAAACTTTGCTTCAGACGCAGCTTTTCAGAGCAAAATCTGCTGAGATCAAATACCTTCTTGACGTATTTTTTTTTATTTGTTTTGAAAAAATCGAATAATGAAGTCGTTAGGGCCAAGATTATACAGTTTAGCTAACAAAAAATGACAGAGAGGCTAAAATGGATAATAGATTATCGCTACAATGGTATCCCTGATATACGATTATTGAACATTCCTAAAAAGGTTTCCATTAATTCCAAGCTAGGTCATATCTGAGCAGGATCTAATAGCTTCCTCCGATGAAAATAATTTTATTCAAGGAATGCGCTCTACCAGAGGTAGAACCGTGTGCTCCTTTTTTGAAGGAATTCTATTAATTTTAATATTCCAGTCATAATAGGGTAACCCTGATGTCACTAAGGCCCGTATCGTCAGTCGTCCCTACAATTGTAGGGCGCCTTTATGGCCTCCTTGATTGTCATAGTTTTCTACTTCTCCGTGTCAGCGCTCTATTTTAAGGTTATATCACAAACATTTATTTGCGTCAAATTGTGCTTGCTTTTGAGTTATATCATGTTTTATCAACCTGAAACTTCCTACAATTTAAAAAGGAAACATATCTTCACAATAGGAGAGCGCTGTCGCTGACACGAGACAAGTGTAATCTAGAAATAGTAATAAACGTGCCCTACAATTAATTGTAGGGACGACTGACGATACGGGCCTTAGTATTGTCTAGGACTTATCACCAATGACAAAGTAACAAAAAATTTTGGTCTTTCTAGGAATTTATTCCGACTCAACACTGTCTAATACGTCTTTTCGCGAATGACGTGATTTAAGATGAAATAGTTGATATTAACTTTCAGTTCAGCTGTTTTGTCCATTTGGGCGAGATAAAAGTGATCACAGCAGATCCTCCTTCTGTTCGGCATTGTCGGCCAGAGTGGTCTGTAAGACCTTTGCTCTTGGTTGAAGTATCTTTGGTCAGTAAGTCTGTTTGCTCTGGTTGTCCAGATACCAGACAGAGTCAGGGAGAAAAAAGAAAGAATAGACAACGGAACAAAGGAGGGAGGGCAAAGTGGAGGCAAATCGTCGCCTTGGCATTGCTAACTTTAATTCGGAAATTCTAGATTGATCCTAAAGTTAATTTATGTTATATTCGCACGCTTTAATTTTGTTCACAGAGCGAGCCGCGTCCTTCTGTACTTGCAATTTTACCCGACTATAACGCAGCTACGCCTGTTTTTTGATGTAGCTCCTTAGGTAAGGCGAGATCTCTGTGGAGAGTCTCATATTGGAGTCACATCATGAGGTGTTAGTGACTATGCGCAAGGTTCTGTTCTGCAAAACCTGGAGACCACGCCAAAAAGTTTTGGTGAGAAAACACCATATGCGTAAGGCATTGCTGGTCCGATAGCCATCTTGTATAGCCAAACTGCGTCGGCAAACTTAATTTTGGGGTCCTATATAGCATATAATAGAGTTGCGGAAACGCAATTTAGATTTTGGTTTTTAACGCTTCAGTGTGCTTCTGACACCTTGTCAAGAGTGACATAAATATACTTGGCAGATTTGTCCCATGGCACGCGAACTCTTTCCACTGAAACCTCAGCCGCTACGTTTTTTAGTAGAATAGGAAGCTTGCGTTTTCGCCGAGAAGATCTAATCCGGTGGCTCTCAAATCTGATCAAAACCATGTAACTTTCTCTAAGTTGAACTGACATGACATATTCATAATGCCAGATATGGGTGGCTTTTTTTAATTGAAGGCTCGAATGATTTCGAAGGAGTCAGCGGTTAACGATCTGTTAAATGCGATACTAGGTATGAGGGTCGCAAGGACAGTCTATCTATATTGATCTTGGCTGGATAGCCTTCTCTAGTATATAATTCAGACAATAGTATACTCAAATAGTTCACATATCTGCTATGCTTATTTCCCACACCAACTGGCGAGAAAGTAATGAAATCAATAGAAATTTCGATAATACTATGGTATTATGCACATCGCAAAAATCATGTCAATCATCTCTGTCAGTCTGTCGTTCAGTCTATGTCCTCTTAATCCTTGGCCCCGCTATAACTGTCAAACTAGCAATCAAATTTTGATGCAATTTTGACCCAAGGTTACGCCTGAGCCAATCGATCCGATAGCGGCAAAGCTACAGGCAAAATAATTGGAGGTTCCGGATTTTAGGGGGTGAAGGAGATATTTTACGATACGTAGATAAAAATAACATATAAGTATGCCATCAATAAACCCAAACATTTTAGACAATTTTAATTTTTCTGAGACTTTCTGTCTGCGATGGTACACATATAGTTGTTTCAGTTCCATAATATAGATATTTGCGGTGGAGATAGATGATCCTGAGTGAAGAATAGTAATTTTTCATATTCAAAAGCACCTGTTTCCCAAAACGCAATTTTGAATCCAGAACTAATATAGGGTTTATTCCACCTTCTAACGCTTCCAGGTCATCTGACCAACTGTTTGCTAGCGAGTTTGCAAGCGCCGAGGATATTAATAGTAACGTTACCAGATAGACGGTAATGTCGATAGGCAGGGAAGAAATTTCTACAGCGTGACCTACCTGACGCCATTTATCCGTCAACCTTTTCCGCTCGACGGGCAAGACAGCAAAAATTTGACCGCCCACCAAAACTAATCGGTCTCCCGCTCTGCGTCCTAACTGTGGTAGTGCGTGATGTGAATAGCTCTTTGTTGATTGCATACCAAGAGGAATTTGTCTTTACCACCCAACTAGCAAAGCAGTGCTATAAATTTTTCTTAAAAGAACTGTTAAGCCGCAAAAGCTCCGTTTTGTTGTTGCATGAACACCAAAATGCCGGCTTAATGTTATGTGAAATGCGAATTTGTTTCTTGCAACATATTTGCTCCAAAATATGTCTGAAATATTCCTGTAGCATGGGATAAATCTTGAACTGTTGCAAAAAGGTTGATACAATCTATTTTGTATAAAATTACTTTGCTCGGCATACATTTGTTGCTTGATATATAGATATACAACTTCACCATAACCTAAGTTCTGCTGCTTTCTTCTTAGATCAATTGCCATAACATATCCTTCTTATCTTCAAGACAAGCAGCGTATGAATATTCGTTGTAAATGTCTTATCAACAGATAATCTAGATCTGGTACAAATTCTGAAGAAAGCATTTGACTGTCCACATTTGATATGCCAAATTGCTATATAACACCTGCTAATAACACCAATATATTCTAATAAATCAAAGAAATTATAGAAGATGCGATGCTTATACATCACCACCCGCCATATTGGGTAAAAAGATATTCCTCAATTGAAGGTCATTTCATTATCTTTCAGTCCGACACTACAGATAGAAAATATAGAAAATGTTATACATTAGTGCAATTATGTCCAAATATAGGATTTGTGGAAGATTTAACGCAGATAAGTTCAGAATTTCATCTTGAAAACCTAAACACATTTTTGATCATTATTAAAATATGAGTCAAATAGAGAGCCCGTAGAAATTGCGTAACCATTTTGTCGATAATCACAATAAAATTAGCTACGCAAGTAATTCAATACCGCTATATCACAGCTTAGAACTGATCATATACCTATGTATGAAATTTCCAATACGAATGTGATGTGCTAGTTTGAAAATATTCTTTTCTTTGCCCATACAATACTTACAACCTTAGTCGTACTGATAATCAAGAACGTCTCAATGATAACTGTTCCCTTGTAAACACTGTTGTTTTTATCGAATTTCGGTCAATTGGTTACGAATGAATATTCAACGTTCAACGTTTCGGTTTATTAGTAGTTTATACAGGGTGACAGGTAAATAGGTGTAAAACATTTTAGGAGGTGATAGTACAGCTCCTTTGCTATCAAAATTGGTATATAATACCATACCCTATATTCAAAGGTTAAAAAGTTATGGAAGATTTAATTTTTTTTAAAAACAACCCAGATTACAGAGCAAAATAGTTGAGATGAAAAAAAGTTGGTGATTAAACATTCTTTTTTTGGTGGTTTCAGGTTATTATTTAACCCTTAACTACGGACATACATTTTTTATCCTCTAACACGGACAAGGAGTCTGACAGACTCCTATTAATGTATGCAATACATTTTTCTTTTTACAAAAAGTATGCTGATTTTTTCTTCATAAGTAAAACAAAATACATCTCATACATCATGTTTATTATCAATATTTTGAAAATACTATAAAATTATGCAAAAAAACCACGAAATAATTGGCGCATTCCATTTTGTTACAAATGCTAAACATACAAATAAAAAGCAACGCTAATATTAACAAAACATATAAATCAACAGTTATTTGAATTTAAACCTTATACTATAAGATCCCACAAACGGTAAAATAGTAAGAATAGGGCTGTAAACTTTAATATAAAAAAACCTGCACGAGGTGAATGTTTCATATATTTTCTAGAGTTTGACAACAGTTTATACAAGATTTTCGCGAACACTGCAGACATATTGGCTTTTTGCAGTTCGCACATGTATAGGCAGTCTTTCTTTTTAGCTTCGAGGGGCATATATAACAATATTTACGTGTATGTAGGCGTTCCTCAGTCACAGGTGTTGGCTCTTCTTGATGTAAAACGCGACAGATTAAATGTTTCAAT